AGTTGAGAAAACTTACACTGCATTTTATTGGTCCATATCAGATTTTAGAGAAGATGGGTGAGGTGGCTTATCAGATTACTTTGTCGTCATCGCTTGTGAATCTTCATTACGTGTTTCATGTGTCTCAGTTGTGGAGATACATTCAATATCCTTCGCATGTGATTCAAATGGATGATGTACATGTGAGAGATAATCTGACTATTGAAGCATCACTTGTGCAGATAGAAGGACAAAGATTGAAGAAATTGTGGGTAAAGACATTGCCTTGGTAAAGGTATTGTAGGGGTGGATCAACTGGTGAAAGTTGGACTTGGGAACGTGAAGATCAGATGAGAGAGTCTTATCTGATTTTGTTTTCGCCAAGTAAATTTTCGAGGGTGAAAAATCTTTTAAGTGGGGGAGAGTTGTAACACCCCAAAATAATTAGATTATTTATTTAATTATTTAATTTTATTATAATGAGTATTTGTGATGTTTTGATGAATATGATGTGTGATGTGATGCTATGTGGGGCATAGTGGAAATTAAGTGATATTGGGTGTTTTTAGTAATTTGAGATAATTAGTGTAATTATTTAGAATTATTTTAGTTGGAGAAAAATAGAGATAATAATATGATGTAGAGATGAAGAGGGAAAAGTGGTAATATTATGAGGATTAGTGAGGGTAAGATGGGAAGACCATAGAAAGGGTCCAAGGGTTAAACAAAGAATAGAGAGAAAAGTGTGTCCATGTGTACGATCATGAAAAGAGTTGGAAAAATGCAACAGAGCTAGGGCAGAAAGAGAACAAAGGGATTTTTGGTAGAATACAAAGAAGAAGATAAAAACTATAATCTAAGGTAAGGGGGTTATCCTTATTATTATTATTATTGATATAGGGTTTAGATGTATGTAAGTTTATTGGGGATTTGTGATGATTTGATATATGATGAATCTTTGATGAAATTGTGAATAATAGATAAAAATACCATATTTTTTTGTCATAAATTGATGCATATAATGTGTACTATGAAGTGTTATTGTCATATGATGAAAATATATGAATTATGTGAGTTTTGAGTCTGATTTGATGTGAAATCTCAAGGAAAATTAGGATTGGATTGTACAGAAACCGCAAAAGCAGAGTGTTGTCACGCGTGTCTCGTCGGGCAAGCAGGATGCTTCGCTGGGCGAAGGCTCCTCGCCCCTGATGTGCCGGGAGAGAACGAAGTGAAGGGGTCTGGTTGGAAGAAATATAGCCCCTGGATATTGTATGGGAGAAGTAGACTCGCTCTAGCTTTGTCGGGCGAAGCTGAGGCGAGCTGATCTCGTCGGGCGAACGAACAAACTTGTCGGGAGAAGAAGGCAAAGGAAAAATGCATGCTCCTGGAATTTTTTATGGGTAGGGAGTTTCACCCTAGCCTCTCCAGGCGAGCCTCAGGTGAGAGATAGATGGCAAAATCTTGAAAGTGTCGTAACTTGAGTTTCCGGACTCTGTTTGACGCACCGTTTTGGATAGATAACACAATGAACTATAATTAGATGGAATATAATGAGTAAAAATATGTATATTTCCAATACCTTGCTAAAATTAAACTAGACCTTGAATGATGAATTGTGATAATACTATGATGAATTGATGTGATTATGTGATTGATGCAACATGATGTAAGTTTGTATGATAGATTGATGTTCTTATGATGATTCTTTGTGTATTACGCTGTATGTGATGATATTGTGATGAATTCATCAACGATGATGTATTTTGACTAGTTGTGGTCATGTTTTATTGTGTTGTTGCGCATCATGCATTCATGGCATATATTAGGACTTCGGTCCAATGATGTTGTTAGGAAGGTTGGTTCAATGATGTTGTTAGGATGATTGGTCTAGTGATGATGATAGGAAGTTAGTCCAGTGACGGCTTAAATCCCATAGTGTAAATTCAGTGTAATATTATGATGTGCTCCAGTTTCAAGCGGGAATCGATCCTATGGCGAAGATCTTTGGAGGAAGATTACTTGGTCATCAGTGAAGTTTTGGTACCAGATGCATGATTCAATGATGTTGCATTGCATTATAAGTGACATTGCATAATGGTTGATTAAGTGATGTTGATGGTGTTGTGATCTATGTGGTGTTTGATGATAGATGTTAACATGATGATATAATTATCTGTATGATGTGTATTAACGATGTAAAAGTGTGAGTATAATTATGAAGTATGATAATATGTGAAATTATGATGACCTGTTGTTATGCTATTATATCTGTTCCATATATCTTTTATAATAGTTTGTGATTACTCATCCTTTTTGCTTGGAAATGTTGCCTCCAGGCGTGGGTAACTTGCAGGTAATCAGGAATAGACGTAGAAGCTCGAGGATAGCTTTATGGAGTCTTTTAGTTGCTTTATTTCAAAATAAAGAGGGCCTTGCTATGATATGTAACATCTGAGTCTTTGGGATTGTTTGAACCGAACTATGTGTTCCTTGATTGACATGATGTATTGAGATATTTTATTTTTGTCTTAAGATGTTTTAAGTATGACTTATGAATTATGAAGTGTGATGATATTTTATTTGAAGTATTTAGTAAAGATGTTTTGAGACAATATTTCCGCTGCGATGTGTTGAAGTTACATGATGATATTTTCATATAGATAAATGTTTTAATTTTTGAAAGTCCGTGTTACGGAACAAGATATGCATGTATGATGTTTATATGAAGATGTGACACTCTTTTAGTGTATTACTCTAATTTATTAATTATAATATTCATGAGGTTTTAGAAGGGTGTTACACATTACACTTTTTTTTGTGTCTTAAATGGACTCCACATAATTTTTTATATTATTTCACGTTTTTCAATAAATTAAACCATTTAATCATATTTTCTAAATATCCATGTATTCATCTAAAAGTTTGAAAAAAAGAAAGGAAAAAGTTAAGACACAGTGGTATTCTTTTTACCATGGTGGTTTTATTATACCACTCATTTGAAGACTAATTATCCAAAACACTCTTGACACAATGGTATTGGTGATAGTGAAGACACTCAATTTTTTTTTTTGATGTTAATGCTCTAAGGTTTTAAGTTTGTAGTCTTTAATGTGTCTGTCTTGTCCCGTTTTATTTTTTTGCGCACATGTTTTTTCTTTAAAATTTTACAATTTTTAGATCTAAAAGAGTTAATGTCCGTTGGTCCGCCCCACCTGTTGAGAATCAAGTGTGAGCAAGAAGTCTCACATTTATTAGAAAAAAGAATATTGAACACTATATAAGTGAGAGAACTCACACACCTATCACCTTAAGATTTTGGGTGAATATGTGGTGTGTCTCTCACAAAAAGTGTCTCCCAAGTAAAAATGCTTCCTCCCTTGAAATTGCCCATAACACCGCCTTCACTTTTTTGCAGGGCTAAACATAGTTTTAACCCCGCACTCTCAAATATGTCTGTCCCGCTTGACCTTTTTTCCGCATGCTTTTGTAGGACGGACATGCCTATTTACCATTCTTAGTAGAGTGTTTGGGCTAGTACTCTTTAATGTGTCAACTTCGTTCTATCTAATTTTTTTTTTGAGTTTTTACATGAGCGAACATTAACATAATTTTTATATTTTTAGACATAAAATAAATTGTCCGAAGGTTTGTTAGGTCTATCAGTTACACCCTCATTACTTTGCAAGACAAATCTATTTTAGATTTAAAACCTCATCTATGTCCGCTCCGTTCTATCCTGTTTTTTTAAACTTTTGTGGTAGCAGACTTAAACGGAACTTGCCCGTTTGCTAGGGGTGTTCGCGGTGCGGTTTGGGCGGTTTTGAAGCAAAAAATCATCCGAACCGCAAGAGAAAAAAACATGCGGTTCGGTTTGGTTCGGTTGACTTTTAAAAATAAATCTGAACCAAACCAAACTAAACTAATGCGGTTTGGATTGGTTCGGTTGTTTCGGTTTTTTACAAAAATAATTATTATGTCATACATACAAATATATAGGAAAATATAATTTTATATTTAATTGTTCATACATTACCATAAAAAATTTATAGTTGTCAAAATAAATTTATAATTTGATACATAAAATTGCGTATTATAATTTTATCTAAATCTAAATAATGATATCAACAAGATTGCATTCTTAAATAAATATTACACAAAGAATATGATAAAATATATTTTGTGAAAATAGTATTTATAAAGGAATAATATTTTATTTTTATGATTTGTAAATTAAAATGAATATAATACAAAGTATGATAAAATATACACATAATACATGTTGATTTCTCTAAAAAATTATAGAAATATATATTGGTTAGTAAGATTTTATAACATAATGCGGTTTTGTTTGGTTTGGTTCGGTTTGTAAAATACAAACCGTAAACCGAACCGAACCATGCGGTTCCACGAGAAAATGACCCAAACACATCCGAACCAAATACGGTTTTTTGCGGTTTCGATTTGGTTCGGTTCGGTTTTGCGGTTTTCTATTGGGCCAGTTTGGTTTTGAACACCCCTACCGTTTGCCACTTCAAATCACCACCTTTGTTTTTTTTTTAATAATAATAATAATAATAATAATAATAATAATAATAATAAAAATAATAAGAAAAATAATAATAAGAAAAGCAGAACAAAAGTTTATTTACTTTATGTTTTTCATTCCTGTTTCTGCTTGTCGTTAGCTTTGCAGCTTCACCAAACTTTTACGGCCCTTATAAATGCATAGAGTCAGTTGAACATTTTTCTGAAAAACATGCAAAATCAGTAAGAAAATAGACACACAAACAGATGAAAAGTATATTAAAACAGCTTTGAAAAAAACTACTACAAAACTAGCCTTAGAATTTATTTCGCTGTCTCTACTCAACCACCTTGTATTTATTACTATAGTACAGCTACACATAGATAAAACCTTACTTCTGAGCTGTGACTTCAACCATCATCATCATCATCTCATTACAGTTCTGAAACAAACACCTTTTGCTGCAGATTCTCTTTCAGTTTGAGTTTTCACTATGTCAGAAGTTTACACTGTGAAGGTTGAGGAAGGAAAGCCTGCTACATCTGATGGAAAGCCATCTGCAGGGCCTGTATATAGATGCATTTATGCCAAAGATGGTCTTTTGGAGTTGCCTTCTGGTTTAGACTCCCCTTGGGATTTCTTCAGGTAACTGTCTACTTTGTTTTACTTGTTATTAACTTTTTCATATGTATGGCTTTTGAGCTTTTCTTACAAGTTTTATGCTTCCTTTGATAGGGATTCAGTTAAGAGGAACCCCGACAACCAAATGCTTGGAACACGTCAAAAACTCGATTCTAAAGTACTAAATACGTCTTCACGAGTTATTTGTTATAGTTTCAAGACTCCAAAATATTGACATTGAATTTTCAGGTGGGACCGTATTCATGGCTCACATATAAAGAGGTCTACGACGCTTCCATCCAAATGGGATCAGCCATGAGAAGCCGCGGTGTCAATCCTGTGAGTTTTCACCACTTCCCGCTCTATCGATATTTCACCTGGACTTAAATATAAGTAAAAAGTATATGTGTTTCGTCAAATATTGACGAAATACATGTACTTTTTTACTTATGTTTTTGTGTGGAGCGGGTATATTTTATATTGGGACACATTAAATGTGAAATTTATGACCTGGTTTTATGTTACTAGGGAGATCATTGTGGCATATATGGTGCCAACTGTCCTGAATGGATCATTGCAATGGAGGTATAGTACTTAGTTTGTAATCGAATCGTCATTCTTATTATATTGATTGTTTTTGTTAATTATTGTAATAAGAATTAATCTATTTCAACTTTCCTATTTTGCAGGCTTGCAATAGCTCTGCAGTAACATATGTTCCATTGTATGACACCCTTGGTACGTGTTTTCTGCCTTCACAGTTGTTTGTGTCCGATAACAAGTTGTTTGGTTGGATAACTATATGCTCTATTATAAGCATAAGCTCTTTTCATATAAGTGCTTATAATATAAGCTATTTCTAAAGCAAAATAAATTAAGTCAATCCAAACAAGATAATATGATTTCCTTTATCAATTCAAATATATCCTCTCTAGAAGTTTTGAACACAAACAAGAGTATAGTTGTAAATACTCTAATTAACTTGTGTTTACGCCTAACAGGTCCTAATGCTGTGGAGTTTATCATAAACCATGCTGAAGTTTCAATCGCATTTGTTCAAGAAAATAAGATTGCATCAGTATGTTCTAGCTTTTTGAGCTCAATGTTTTAACAATTGCAACATGGAATGTCTAACACATTTAACTGTTTCAATGTTAAATCTTCTGAGAAAAAACTAACGTTCGTTTCCACAGATTTTGTCATGTCTTAGTCGGTGTTCTTCAAATCTTAAAAGTAGGTCAAGCATTCGTGTCTTATTTAAGATTAAGTTTTTTTTTTTTACTACATTTAATGCAGACTAACCTGTTTAAATCAATGTTGTAGCTATTGTGAGCTTTGGAAATGTTTCAGCCGCACAAAAGAAGGAAGCTGAGGAATTTGGCGCGTCCTGCTTCTCCTGGGAAGAGTTTCTCCAGTTGGTAAGATATTAGTGTTTTAAACTGTGGTTGCAGTCACGGTTACTATGAACGTTCACGGTTCGATTCAAGAAGAATCAAACTCTTACAACAGTTTGCTAAAACTGAACTGATAAGCTTGTTTTCAACTGCTTCAGGGAAGTTTAGATTGGGATCTACCACTAAAAAAGAAGACTGACATTTGCACAATAATGTACACAAGTGGAACAACCGGAGAACCGAAAGGTGTCATTATTAAGAATGAGGCATTCATGTCTGAAGTGTTGTCTATTGATCAAATTATCATGTTAACAGACAGAGTGGTAAGATAACCCTTTTTTTAAAACTTTGTCGATTTCATATTGAAGATTTTCTGTTCTATAACTACTTGTGGAAAAGTTTGTCCAAACATATATCCAAAATTCATACAATGCATGAAAAACAAAGTTTGTGAAACCATATAGTAGTGACAGGAAATATGCAACATTGTAACATTTGTAGGCCGCAGACGACGACATATACTTCTCCTTTCTTCCTCTTGCTCATGTATACGACCAGATAATGGCGACCTATTGTGTCTTCAAGGGCTCATCAATAGGATTTTGGCAAGGCGTAAGACTTTGATTCCGTTTTCAGTTCATTCTTTCCGAGTCTTTTGTTTCAACTCCTAGTATTTCTTATAAAGTTCTCTCTTTAAATCTTGCAGGATGTTAGATTCTTGATGGAAGATGTTCAGGTATTGAAACCAACTATATTTTGTGGCGTTCCTAGAGTTTTTGATCGTATTTGCACCGGTAAGATATCTATATATATTCTTCTCATCTTTTATAACTTTCTTATACTTGTGTAACTATACTATCCAACAAGCACTAACTATATATTTTTCACATGAAGGTATCAAAAGCAAAGTTTCATCTGCTGGATCACTGAAAAGTGCATTGTTTCGTTATGCATACAACTAGTATGTTTACAACAAAACTCTTTTGAGTGTTTTAGTTATATGTTTTTGTGTGTAAACTAATCAAGAGTCCATTAACAGTAAGTTAAGTTACTTGGAGAAGGGTCTTCCACAGCATAAAGCAGCACCACTGTTTGATAGGCTTGTTTTTGATAAGGTGAACTACTTGTCTTGTGAATTCTTTTCGCAAAGTTTTGTTCATTCGCGACTAAAAAATATCGGTTTTATTGGTAGACAAAACAAGCACTCGGTGGTCGCGTTCGTATCCTATTATCAGGAGCTGCTCCTTTGCCTAATCATGTGGAAGAGTGTTTGAGAGTCACTAGTGGATCCACATTATCACAAGGATATGGTATGGTATATGAATAAATGAATCTTCTTCCTTGCACAATGTTTGTGATTGTGTATGAATGACATATTAATCTATTATTTTCTGCGTGACAGGTCTTACGGAAAGCTGTGCTGGGTGTTTCACATCGATCGGCGATGTGTTTTCTATGATGGGAACAGTTGGAATTCCCATGACAACCATTGAGGCCAGACTTGAATCTGTACCAGAGATGGGATACGACGCGCTTTCCAGTGAACCCCGCGGAGAAATTTGCCTGAGAGGAAATTCCTTGTTCTCTGGTTACCACAAGCGACAAGATCTTACTGAAGAGGTTATCGTTGATGGTTGGTTTCATACAGGTATATTGTTTGATCCCTAGTGAAACTTAGATTGGCTCTAAATGCAGTATGTTTAAATATGACTTTGAAATTGTTGCAGGCGACATCGGAGAATGGCAACCAAATGGAGCCATGAAAATTATCGATAGGAAAAAGAATATCTTTAAACTGTCTCAAGGAGAATACATTGCTGTAGAGAATATCGAAAGCAAGTATCAGCAATGTCCTCTTATAACATCGGTATGCTTCTACACCAATCAAATAAAAGTCTCTATGTATAACTATAGAAGCAAGAACTCTATTGGAATTTTTGAATGCATAAAAACACTTCTCTGTGTATTCAGATTTGGGTTTATGGAAACAGTTTCGAGTCATTCTTGGTGGCTGTGGTAGTCCCTGAAAGAAAGGCTCTCGAGGATTGGGCTGTAGAGCACAATTTAACCGGCGACTTTAAATCTGTGTGTGGAAATTTAAAGGCAAGAAAATACATTTTGGACGAGCTCAGAAGCACTGGCCAGAAACTCCAAGTATGTATATCTAAGATTTTCTTATGCTATGCTGCTTATTTTTGGTAGTATATGATGCATGATGAATGTGTGTGCTAGCTACATCTAACATGAATGAAATTCTCTCAGCTTAAGGGATTTGAGCTGCTCAAATCTATTTATCTGGAACCATCTCCCTTTGACATAGAGAGAGATCTAGTAACTCCAACATTCAAATTGAAGAGACCTCAATTACTGAAATACTACAAGGTAACACAATGCTTATCTATGAATTCCAATCAGATATTGGAATACTTTCTCGAATAAACTAATGTTACTCTTTGAAAACATTGCTTTGCAGGATCAAATCGATGAACTATACAAGGAAGCAAAGGGAACAATGGCATGAGCCACGTGATGCAAAATCCATTTGGTTTTATGTATATTTGATAATAATCTATAAAAATAGTATAGTAGTATGTTAAAACAGCCACTTTGTATGTAATTCTTGTCAGTTTAATTATAATTAATATGTCCCTAAAATCAGTTTCGATCAAATGATCAGCATAGAAGCCAAATGGCTACAGTTACATCAACTAAAAAAAATTTCACTCTGATTACGCCTATGTCATAATATAGAGAACCAATGTCCAAAATCAACAAATTCTTGAGCAAAACAGTTTCTAGCAACTTTGCTCTAGACGCAAACATCTTCCTTCATTCTAAAGTTGTAACAAGAACTTGGAGAGGATTGAAGCATAGCAGAACAGTTTTGAGTTAGGGTTGCAAGGAACAAGAGAAGGAAATCTAGGCAAAAATCTGAAGGTGCATGATGGAACTAGAAACTCAACATACAAGTGAAGAACAACTATTGACCTACATAGACATTCAGTCACTATTTTGCTCATAACTCATGCTATATAAGCCTTTTAGAAGTGAAACGTAAACCATTAAAAAGTAGACTGAATTTGTCACTAGCATTGACACCGGAAATAGAAAACCAACACTGAGACATTGATACTATTAATAATTTAATAAAATGAATAAATTAAATGTGATCACGAGCGTCGACAGTGACAATTTTGAGGATTGAGACCAAAAAAAAGTTGCTTACTTGTACATTGGAATCTACAACTACAATTGTAGTCCAAGTTTGCAAACTCATCAAGTCCTTATATGGCTTAAAACAGGCCAGCAGGCAATGGAATCATACACTCACTGCCTCCCTTCTTTCCTTGGGTTACAAACAATCACAGAGTGATTACTCTTTGTTTGTAAAATCACATGCTGGTCATTTAACAGTTTTGCTCATCTATGTAGATGATATTGTCCTCACAGGTGATGATCTGGAAGAAATCACAAGTGTTAAACAATTTCTGGATGCTAAATTCAAGATCAAGGATTTAGGGGATCTCAGATATTTTCTTGGTTTTGAAGTAGCAAGGTCTAAACAAGGCTTGGTGATTTCACAGAGGAAGTATGCCTTGGAGCTCATTGAAGATGCAGGTTTACTTGCTAGTCAACCTGCCTGTACTCCAATGCTTACTGGTTCTAAGTTTCCAGCCATCACAGATAATCCATTTCCTGATATTGAGGCTTATAGAAGACTCATTGGCAGACTTTTGTACCTCACTAACACAAGGCCTGATCTGTCATTTGCAGTGAGCACTTTAAGCCAATTTTTGTCTAAACCAATGAGAGAACATCATGATGCAGCTTTGAGAGTTCTTAGGTACCTCAAACAGCAGCCAGGACATGGTTTGTTCTTTCCCTCAGAATCTTCACATAAAATCACAGGTTTTTGTGATTCAGATTGGGCTTCATGTGTTGATACTAGGAGGTCTATCACAGGTTACAATGTGTTCTATGGAGCTTCTTTGATTAGTTGGAAGTCTAAGAAGCAAAGCACAATCTCCAGATCATCTTCTGAAGCTGAGTATCGGGCCATAGCAACCACAGCTTGTGAAATTCAGTGGTTATTGTACCTTCTCAAGGATCTTTATCAACCAATCCAGGAGCCTGTAGCTTTGTTCTGTGATAATTTGTCTGCCATTCACATTGCTCAAAATCCAACATTTCATGAAAGGACAAAGCATATTGAGATTGATTGTCATTTGGTTCGAGATAAGATACAACAAGGCATTCTTAAACTTATGCCTATTCCGACACATGCTCAGTTAGCAGATCTGCACACAAAGGCTCTTCATGGTCCTCAGTTTCAGCTTCTATTATCCAAGCTTAGTCTCAAAAATTTGTACATACATGCCTAAGCTTGAGGGAGGGTATTGAATTTACTTGCTAGTCAAGTAAATCTCATTTGTACATAGTTTCAGTTAGTTACTTGTATAGTTTCTGTTTAGTTTGTTAAAGGTAGTTAGGAGTTTGTTAGTTTGTTATTGAATCAGTTAGTTAGTTATTGATTCAGTTAGATTAGATAACTTGTATATAACTACCTAATGTATCACTCTTCTATTCATGAAATAAGAATGAGAGCTTATTTACCTATGAGTTTCTACAAATTCTACAGGTGTTGTGAAGATTGTCCGCGGAGTTGGGTGCAGTGGTGGTGCGTGTTCTGCCACTGATTTCGTGGTGGCCTCGTCTTGGTGTTGGCGGCGGATTCGTTCATGACAGGGGCTGCACTGTTGCGACTCCAAATTCACCATTCTTCTTCCTCATTCTTTACTTTCTCTCTTTTTGAATTCTCTATTGTTTGATTTGTTTGATTATGGTGTAGGTGAGTAAAAGTTGTTGTTTGATTTGTTTGATTTATGGTTGAATGTTTCAAATGATTTGTGTTGGCTTTTGGTTTAAAGTTTGGACTTGTGATTTTGGTGATGATGTTTATATGTTGGTCTGCGGGGAGTATGTAAGGTAGGCTAATGTAAAGAGGTTCTCAAGGTGGATTTATAGTGATGATATGGTGAATAAAGTGAAGGTTTTGAGATTCATTGAGTTTATGATAAATGGGTGTGTGATTATGAATTTATGAGACACTTGGTGATTAGTTGAAGCGGGGTGAAATTAATTATGAAAGTTTGAATTTGGTTTAGTCGGGGGCTTTGGTCAGAGAAAATTGGAAGTTTAATGGAGGTGATGAATTTTAGCTTGGTTTTTTGGTTTTTTTCTCTTGTTGACTAAAACAAATAAGGGTTGTGTAATATAGTATTAGTGTAGGGTTTTCTCTTGTTGACTAAAACAAATAAGGGTTGTGTAATATAGTATTAGTGTAGGGTTTTTTGTGTTGAAAATTGATGGTGGATTATGTCATATCTGAATTTTTATCCATAAGATCTCATGTTATTTATATTATTGCATATCATCAAGATCACAAACTTGTTGTCTATTAACCCTCATTTCTATGAGTCTTGCCTTTGTAGCGATTATCAAGCATCTTTTTTGTGTATCCTTTTATATAAAAAATATGCATTGTTTCCTCTTGTTTATTGTGTAAGGTAGGTCTTGAATCAAGAACATCAAGCATGATCCCCTCAACTAGGGTTTACTTTCTCAAAGTCAAATTGTGATCAATCATTGATTCTCAAGGGCTTGATCATCAAATCATAACTTCTAATCTCAAAGCATATAGTCTCAAGCATCATTAAATTTCATCTTGATCAAGAGTACCTCAAAATTGATAGCTTGTTTCTCAAGAAACTTCAAAGGTTCATGTGTTTATTTTCATGCCTTCTTTAACAAGTTACCTCAAGACTTGGTCAATTTATTTCAAGGATAATCAAGAATCTATCATGAAGAGTTCATATGATCATCAATGTGTTTTGGAGTGCAAGAAAAGTCCAAGTTCACAAATTGATTCAAGGTGGTTTGACCAAAAAGTAAATATTTCAAGTCCAAGTTCAAAATACCATAACTCACTCATTTTTCAACATTTTTGAGTGATCCTTTGAGCATATGACTCTCCTTGACATTATATACAACTTATCTTTACAGTCAAGAGCCAATTATATTTGGAATATCATCAAAATTTTGGAAACATTATAGGTCACTTTGTGGACTTGGTGAAATTTTATATATTTTCAAGTGAGTTTTGTCCAACTTTTCAAGATCATAACTCTCTCAATTTTTAACTTTCATGAGTGATTCTTTTTTCTACTTATCATTTATGATGCCCTCTACAAATTTGCTTCAAAGATCAAGAGCCAATTATGATTGGAAAGTCATGAAAAGTTGGATGATATTTTAGGTCATTTTGGACTCATAAATATTTTGACTTGTAATTTCAGGTCATTGTACACTACTATAAAAAAACCCATTTAACAACGGTTGGGAAAAATATATAACCACGCAGGACCAGACATTGTTATGTAGGTGGTCGTTGTAAGTGGGTTATTTATAATCACGGTCTATTGCCCGTGGTAGTAAACTAGATAGCATGCTACATACAACCATGGTTGAATTAAATAACTATTGTTGTACGCGCTACATACAACCATAGTTGATTTAAACAATTGTTGTTGTATGTGTTTTAATAAATAAAAAAAATATAGCAGTAGCATAATAACATCAACAAGAACAATAAGAACAACAACAAGAACAACAAGAACAATAACAAAAAAAAAACAAAAACAAGAAGAACAACAATAACAATAATAATAATAACAATAATAATAACAATAACAAATAATAATAATAATAATAACAATAATAACAATAATAATAATAATAATAATAATAATAATAATAATAATAATAATAATAATAATAATAATAATAATAATAATAATAATAATAATAATAATAATAATAATAATAATAATAATAATAAGAACAAGAACAAGATCAACAAGAACACCAGCAGAACAACAACAAGAGCAACAATAATAACAATAATAATAAAAGAAAGAAGAAGAACAACAATAATAACAAAAAAAGAACAACAAAAACAATAATAACAAAAAAAGAACAACTAACATTGTTAACTTGAATCTATATTTTCCTTGTCTCTTTCAAGTTGAAGAAGAGAAGATGGAGTTTATAGATTTGTTAATGAAAAATATTATGTTTTCGAGTTTTGTTTATGGAAGATATGATATTTCTGAGTTTAGTTTAGTGGAGAAATAGAGTGTTGAAAATGAAATATAACGTTTGGAGGTAGAAGATGAAATTCATCCAAGTTGGAAGTTTAAGTTTTAGGTTTCACGCGGATCACTAATGGTAGATTCTTGAGCGTTGATAAGCATTAAATGGACGGCAAATATTTGTTTAAGAAAGGTGAAGAATCTCAAGAAACACACTTATAAGAAATTCAATAAACTCAATAGCGTGCTACATACAATAACGATTGTATTAAACAACCGTTGTTGTATGTCTTTTAATAAAATATAAAAAATGAAGCAGTATAAAAACAACAACAACAAGATTCAAATCCATGGTCATGCTCTACATACA